TAAACAACAGGACAAGCTCATTTTCTCAGTCCTCTCTGCTTAGTACAATTCAAGCTTTGTTACTACAGTGCAAACACTAACTGTAATCCAAGATTAATTAACCAAGTTATTAGAAACAGAATTCCACAGCAAATATACCACACTAACCTTTAAATATTTTCTGTTCTGTGAAATCCACCAATTTCAGCAGTTATCCAAAGTGCCTCTAGGTAACACACACAAAACCATTCGCCAGATATGAAATGAGATGAACTGCGTGTACAGTCTCTTCTCACTCATTAAGAGGCAGTATTTCAGCAAGCCAAACTCTTTTTTAATATCATAATAATTTAATGTGATATATACCATGTGAATATGATGTTATATGGAATATGTTAAGAGCACTACTGAAAATACACGTTTACAGTTTTAGCTGTATTTCTACCACATACCAATTCTAACACGAACAATGAATCATTCCCTCAAAGCCTCCATACCAGATGAACTCCCTTCCAGCCATTATCAAATGGAGGAACAAGCCTTCAACTGATTTTATAAGTGACCTACGCCAACGCTGGCTGCATGCCCGCTCCTGCAAAGCGTCAGCTCAAGCAGTCAGCCCTAAAGAGCTGCGAAACAGGCACGGCACCCCCCCAGAAACCTGAGGGGAGGGGATCTCCAGGAGGCATCTGCAAGCAGATGACAGCAGCTCCTTTATGGGGCAGTTAGATCTTGGAGTAAGTCGGTGGCCTCAGCTGCTAATCTGCTTCCTCCTTCGGGAGGGTTCGGGATCACTGACCCCCCCCTGCGCCGATACAGCCCTATCGCACAGTCCCCACATCCCGACAGCCTCGTGCTGACTTTCCCCGACCGATGCCTCTACGTACAACACTCATCTAAGTCACGAACGCTTTCAGCATCTCAACACCTCCCTGTGATGTAGCTTAACTGCATAAGCTACCTTGAAGAGTTTCTCAAGATCATATTCGAAGCCACATCAGTTGTCCCTCAAAAGTGCAGTGCATATTCATATCTTCTAACAACCTTGCCTAATGCAGGGATATCTATATTTAGAAACCACAGAAACAGGGGCTCAGTAACCGGTTTGCCAGCGGTATTCCTCTGAACACTGGTCAAGACACTAAGGTTGGTCACTGTGTGTTTTGCGTTCAGTTCACGAACATATTCCGGCACAAGCTTAACCTTAGCTTATCCATATATATCTATTTTTATATATATAGCTTAACTCGTAGCAACATGCTAGATTCTTTTCAGCAGGCAAAGCTTTTTCTGGCTCAGAAAAACTGACATGCTGGATGAGAAGACAGCCAAAGTCCATACTGGCTATCAAACCACAAAACTACTTCCACCAGGAAAATCGTGGTCATCGTTTTATTTTTACTGAACTGAATTTTCATGTATTGATGAAAGCTGTACGGTGTTCTCTGATGAGGAATCCATATGGACTGCAGTTAAAGTATACTGCAAAGGCCATTTGTGGGCCGTAACAGGTACCGTTGATATCTATAAACCTGAGTTGTGCCTGAAGCTATCAAAGCTGTAAAAAAAAAAAATTATAGACAAGTGATTCTTAATAATCTATTTTGATATTACTAGTAAATAAAAGCATGCCTGTATTTTCATGGAAAGAACTACAATTACTACAAGGAGAAACAGAAAAAATGTAGTAAAAAAATCTAAAAAAGAAAGTACTAAAATTACACAATTCAGGGAAAATCAATTTATTTGGGGGGTATACCTGTGGTTATGGGGGTGTTAGGAGTGGGGTGAAAGTGTTCTTCCTTACTGTCCACAATTACAGGTTACAAAGTATTATGCCACTAGTGTAACATAAAGGGTAGTATTCTGTAAATTCATTTATTATACTAAATGTCTGTAAATATATTTAAGTAATGCTAAAGTTGCACTCAAAGGCTTAGAATCAACACTTTAGGCACCTGGGATAAGCGACATAATTACAGGAAACTTTTTTTTTTTTTTAAGGGAAAGTAATCCAGACATCTACTCAGTACATACCTTTCATTCTCTTAATTACCGCCAGAATCAAAATTTCCCATAACTAACTCATAGGAAACATTAAGAATAGGGATTGTTTTCCTTGGGTTTAAACTCCTCAAAAAATCAACAACTACAAACATGCTGACCCACAGAAAAATACCAAGAAATATTCTGATACAGCATTGCAGACAGTTCCATCAAGTTGAAATGTCTGTGGCATTTTTTCCTCTTTAAATGAGGAGGGGGATCAGTCTTTCAGAAGCTGCGAGGAGGTCCCCAGTCTCGCAACGCGAGTAGCACATTTGTGTCGCGGTTGTTCCGAGTACCTTTACAGACTAGGCTTTTCACTAAATGTTGTGGTAACGTAGCCACTGACATCTGATTGCATTTTGGCCAATCTGCTCAGTACTAAGACACTGATAACTTCGCTTGTACCTGTTTGCTTCTGATCTCATCAAACAGCCTCCCTCTCCTGTGTACAGAGATATCCCTGAAGAACCAAACAGTATATTCCATAAAGGTGTATGAAGTCTCAAAAAATTATACTATTAAAGGACATTTCCCAGAAGATTATATCTAAACTACAAAAAAGAACTGCTCAAGGCACATATTAATATCGCAATCACTTTTCCAAATATTCTATTGTGAAAATATGATTTTTTTTTTTATTCAAAGACTGTAAGTGAATGAGGAACAAGTTCAAAAGCACAGAATGCCGCTACATACAATATGATGTTCTAAAATAGGTTAAATGCTTTTCAGATAGTTTCAGATTTGCAACAACTGAATGATTGCAATAAATCGCCAGAACATTAGATTTCATCGGGTGGGGGGGTGGGGAAGAACCAAAAACAAACAACTGAAAAAAGCCAGCTTGCCCAGCTACATAAAAGATGAGCTGGCAGATCTTGACAAGCACATACTAATATGCTAAAAGATATAAGACATGCTAAAACCTTCACCTGCTGTAAACACCTTCACTTTGGGCATGTTTGGTTCCCCTCCTCACTTCTTGTAAGAAGGGCAGAAGAAAAGATTACTCAATAAGCCAAATATCAAAGAAATAAGTTCAAGAAATAAAGATGACTCTAAATCCATAACCCAGATTCCAAACACCTATTTCCTTGAACAAAGCAATGGATTTTTTTTTTTAATTATTTTCACTGAACATTGAACTGTAAACTATTATAAAAAAGGACAAGAAAGAGATTCTGAAGATAAAACTCTAAAGTGTTTTATATTACATATTTGAAATAAATAAAAAATTTGGGCCACAGTCAGTAAAATACAAGCTTAATTTTGAGTAGAAATTTTAGTAGAAAAATTGGAATAATTTTACTATGATTAAGTCTACTGTTTGATGGATCACTTGCTTTAGGATTGTGTGTTTGTTTTGTTTTTACATTAACAGCCCTTTCAAGAATATTTTAATTTTGCTACCTAGACGACACACAAAAATTATAAAGGAAACACTGGAGTTTCTACTCCAGAAAATTATTACAAAAAGATTTCTCACTATTAGTCTTTAAACAAAAATGTTCAAGGCTATACTGTGATCTGTTGGAAAGGCCAGCGTTATAAATTTGTCCATTACATTTAAAGACATATATCGGATAATTTGAAAATGTAGTGCAAAAGCCAATTGTACCATTTCAGAGTTTCTATCCTAGTACTTCAGAATTTCCTTTTCAGTTTGAAGAAAACTGAATGATTTGCAAAAACATATGTAGATGTTATACTTAAGACTGGATTGCATTTTTAATTCTAACTGGTTCACCTGCACTTTATTACACAAATTAAGTCTAATTTCAACATCTGGTAACACTTCATTGAACAAGTATTTAACAGAACTCACAACTAATATCAAGGCACATGAGGACTTCATACATTGCTTTCCATTCGAAGGCTCCGAAATGTCAATAATTAGCCTTCGTAACTTCCTTCTGAAGAAGGCAACATTATTTTTATTTTATAAACAGAGAATTTGAGTAAGAAATAATAAATCCACCTGGTAAAGTAATGAATGAAACTAAGATTCCCAGTTTTCTGCTCTGTGTTGCAGCCACTACAATGCTGAGAGTTCATTCAGTGTTCTGCCTTTTTGCTTTTATTTTTTGGCACAGTTGTAATGATGTTTCATTTCATTAAAAGTTTCTGTTAATAAATCTCTACTAAGCCACAGAGATCACCTACAGTTACTAGGAACAGAGAACAGGGTACATGAACTAACAGAAAGAAGATAGCCAGACTCTGCCACAAAATGAATCCTATGGAAAACATCAGCTTAATTAGGTTACTTCAGGTCTTCAGAGCCAGCCCAGGAAGATACTCTATATATACTGAAAGCAATTCTGTTCTGCTCTCACAGAACACCCACAAACCTTCTTTCCTCTCAATACTTTATAAGCTATTACTTAGTTTTTAGAATTCAATCAAAGAATAATATTACGACTGCTCCACCACAGGCTATGGATGGCCGCTACTCCTCCATACCTCCCACACCACGATGTCCTGCCTTCAGGGGAAAACGTCCCACGTCAAAGCAGTAGGTAACAGGAGACAGGAGCCAAAACACAGTGGTAGCAATATCTAGTGCTTAATTAATAGTCAGAGCCTATCCTTTTTTCTTGTCTTTTTTTGAAAGTAAGAGCTAAAACTCATTTGTCTCAGATCACTGAAGGAAAGAGACTTGCTATTTAATCACCCATCTAGCAGTTTAAAAAAAAAAGGGGGGGGGGGGAAATCAAAACATACTCGGTCAGTACCCTGTTCCACCCCTCAGCACCCTCCAAACACACCTTTTCAGGTGAAAGGGAGGGAAAG